TTTGGGGCCAGCCCGTGACATAGCGGCTAAGGTATTGGATTCTGACATGACCTACTGTGGTTCAAGTCCCAGACCTGGTGGCTTGAAAATCACACTGGGCACGTGTATGTGCATGCCCAAAATCCAGAGAGGGGCCAGGAAGAGAACGGACTGCAGTGTGGCCATCCACCTCTGGGGGGTGATTTTTCACTTTCCCTGTCTCTGTCTCTCTAGAGAGAGCACATGTGCCCTATCTGCAAAACTCTTTAAAAAAAAAAAAAAAAGAAGAGGTTTATTTGACTCACAGTTCTGGAGCCGGGGAAGTCCAAAGCATAGCACTAGCATAAGTGAGTGTCATCCCATGGCAGAAGGCGTCACGTGGTGAGAGGGCAAGAGCACGTGACACAGAGAAATGAGAGCCGAGCTCATCCTTTAATCTGGAGCCCACGCCCACTCTTGCAGTGACGACACTCATCCCTCCGTTCATTCATTCATGGCTTACTCACCTCTGTAAAGTCTGAACTCCGAATACTGTTACATTAGCGATTAAATTTCAACTGGGGAGCAGCAGATGGCGTAATGATTATGTTGCTGGACTCCCACGTAGTTGACTGCAGTTCGAGTCCTGGACACAATGGCTTAAAATTCACACCGGGTGCGTGTTCGTGTGTGTCCAAAATCCCAAGAGGAGACTGGAGGAGAAAGGATGGATTTCTCACTTTCTGTCTTTGTCTCTCTAGCAAGTGCACATGCCCTATAGCAAACATCTCTCAAAAAAAAATCCCTCTCTCTAAAAACTAAACTGGGCTTCGATATGGACATTCGGTGCAGTGGAGACCATTCACTTTGATGGGTGCGTCGTCTTTATCCACTTCTACACGCAAACACGGGACTCCCGGTTGTGCCTCCGCACCCTCAGGGAGGAACACGGTTGAATCACCTTTCTTCCAGCAGATGGCAGCCTTCACCGAGGACTGGGAGCACGGCCGGTCAACCCTTCTTGCGCTCCAGAGGGATTTTGTGCTGAGTAAAGTACCACCATTTCGAAAGAACACGCCACCGTAACGTTCGGATGGCCTCTTAGAAGGAGATGCTATTAATCATCTTGCACAACATCCTTTCGCGGTTTCTTGCTGCCCTAGGAGGAACGCAGAGCTCCTCCAGGGCTCCGAGTGAGCTGGGCTAACCGCAGTCCCTCCGGCCCGCCGGCTCACGGCCTGGGCCTCTGCCCTATTCCAGCGCGGAGCCCTGGCGCTGCCGTCTGCTGTCTGAAGCGCTCTCCCTCTCTCATCCCCTCGGAGGTCTCGGTATCTGGTCCTTGTCTCACTTCCACAGTGTAAGCTTCCTCTCCTCTGAAGGCTCCCTGACTACTCCCCAGGTACCTCCCTCCCTTCCATCGTACCAGCTGCTCATGCTAATTAACTTTCTTCCTGGCATTAGCACGTCTGAAATTATTTACTCGCTCATTGTCTGTCTTTCCATCTAAAAGGTAAGCTGCATGACAGTGGGACAGAAAAAGTAACCCTCTGAACCCTTTCCTATCTCAAGGCGTAGAAAGAATGGGTGAACTTCGCGTCAAAGTCATGGACTAAGCAGGGCCAGCAGGTAGCATAGCGGTTAGGGTGCTGGGCTCTCACATGGCTGGCCATAGTTCAGGTCCGGACCCAGTAACTTGAAACTCATACTGGGCACGTGTATGTGTGTGCCCAAAATCCTGAGAGGAGAATGGAGAAGGGATTGCAACATGGCCATCCCCTCTGTGGGGAAGAGGGGCGTTTTTGTTTTAATTTAATTAGGTTCTTGGCAAAAAATTTAGAACACCAATTTGTGAGGATAAACTCCATTTGTAAGGGCAAACACGGATCACAGGTAGCCCTGGAGCTGAGGAACAGCTTTGATTTTTGGTAAAATTTGCGAGTCCACAGCTTTCTGAGCAACATCGCGCTGCTCTGATGCCAGTGTCCATCCCCTGGCTTGGTTCTATCGAAGGAAGCAGAAAGAATGAGACAAAGAGACAGAGTAACAGCAGACACAGGCAGCCTGAGCCGAGGTAACCCAAGCAACTTGTGGCACCCAGACAAACTGGGAGCCTTTATTTACAGGGCAAAGTGACACTGCATATGTGTGTTTCATGACATTCCATAGGTATGTTGATGTGTTATAGACAATAAGAAGCAGGTAACAAATCTATACGGGCTTAGACACGGGGCCAGGTGTATCCCTTGGCGATAATCCCATCAAGAGGAAATCCCATTATCTTCTTTTCTAATGGAGAAGCCTAGCTGCAGGTGTGGGGAGGAGACATAAGGCTAAAGAATCTCCATCAGGTGGGCACCACCACGCCCAGAAAAGGCTAAAGAATCTCACAGAGGCAAAGCAGGGATTGGACTTTGCTAATTGGGGGTCAGGATGTTTCCTGAATTCCATCAGCTGTGTCTGTTGGAATTCCCCTAGCAATGTCCACCCTTTGCTCTGCCTGTAGCGAAGGTCAAGGAAGGACAAGTTGCGCAGTTCTGCCGTTGCCCAAGTGACAGGTGGTGTTTGCTCAGAGCATGTCCCCTCACCTCACTCAGGGCCTCTCTCTGAACATGTCCCTACACTCTGAAATCTCGTATTTCTCCTTCTCTGTGCCGAAGATCTCACCTTTGGTAAGGTGCTTTGGGACTTTTACTTCGCTAATATCAATTTTCGTGGAGGTGGCAATGACAGATTTCTGGTGTGTTCTATGCAGTGGAACTCGATTGAGAACCAGCGCTCCAGTTACAAGGAGCAAGCCACTGCCCAGTTGCTTCAGGAAAGCCACTCTCTTGCTCTGTGGCGTCCAGTGAGGGTGATCAGAATGGTCCCAGGAGTGACGCTGGCTCGCAGATTTCTCACATGCTGACTGCAGGGTTTTTTGCCGTGGCTCAACAGCTTTCGAGGCACATCTTCAGTAGGATAATATCTAGGCATTTTGTGCAGTTTAACCACCCGGGTACCACTATTCCTGTCCCCACCAACTGGTTTTGTGACAGTCACAAGAACCTTCTCCTTTCTCTTTTCAATCCTGGATTTAGTGGCCGAGTGTTTCTTCTTGTACATGGCCTTCTTGGAAGACATGGCAGACCGTGAGTATCTGCCGATGCCCCAGACTAGGACCAGGTTTCAGCTGCAATGGGGCTTTTCCTTCTTGGGCTTTTTAGCCTTGGGATCACTCTTTTTTTTTTTTTTTCGAAGAGGTTTTTGCTATAGGGCGTGTGTGCTTGCCAGAAAGACAGAGAGACACAGAGAGACAGAAAGTGAGAAATC